TCAAACATGTCAGCACAAAGTCTCTCAATGTGGCAACAATATCACAAAAGCAATAAACTTAAAGTCACTTATTCAATTTTGAACAAAAACAAAATAATGCTCAAATCGTGAGATAAAGCAATAATTTCACAAGATTTAAGAAGGCAAATTATGCAGATATGAGCAAATAAATAACAATCCAAATCTCAATCTTTAAAAGTTGATACACCAAGAGAATCTCATCCCACATATTTCAACAATTAAAGCATCATTTCCTTAAAGCATACAAGAGTAAGTGACAATGTGTCGTCAACACTACAAAATTAATATATCTTACTCCTAATTGTTAATCAGTAGATAGCGCGAGTAAGGGTCAATCCCATAGGGAAGTAGTTGAATCTAAATTCCAATTGTTTAAAATTAAATCCTAAAACTTCCATGAAAAATAAATTCCTAAACTAAATTGACCTAAATAACGAAAATATAAATTTGGGGTTTTGTAAAATCAAGGAAACTAAATAATTACCAAAACGAAATTATGAATGAAAATCAATAAAATAATAACTTCAGTTCTCAGCTCATTCTCACCCTCACAATCAATGTATATTCTCAATTGCAATGCAATCCTACCTTTTCATGGAAGTATCAACCCTAGGCAGTAACAAGCTCTACTACTCGAAATTCCCCTTAATTCTGACTAATGAAACATGCTCTTCAACAGTCTATAACCATTAGACAACCTAGAACAAGCTCTCTAGATTTAATGTAATGGTTGCTTTAAGTTCCAAGGAAATAGGTTAACCTAAGCAACATTCTCACAAGCTCAGGTTGTTTAACTTAGGTTTTGTCATTCAAGTAATAAGATGAAAATTTTATCCACAATCTTTTATTATTAATCGCTACTGCGTGATTAGAAACAGATCGATTACGTAATACAATCCTAATTCTAGCAATCGATATTAATTCAATCAATCTATTAAGCCTGAAGTAAATTAAACGAATCAAATATCATATTCCATTAAAATAGAATAACATAAATCAAATACATTAAAAGGTAAGAAATTACATTACTTTATCAATTATACCATCGATATGTGTTAGGAAATGAAATCCCCTCGAACCGAATTAAAAAAGTCTAACCAAACATCTTAAACTGAGAATAACAAGAGTTTTTAAATGAATCTCTTTGTATCTCCTTAAAACCTAATGTTCTATTTATAGACCCTTCAAATAACCCTAAAAACATGTGTACAACCTCCTCCAACAGTTTACAACTCAAATTCCTAAATTGTAGGCATTAAGTCCTACTCTTTCCAAAACAGGTTGACTAATTTTCCGTTGGACATGTGAGCTAATTTGGGGTTAGAAAACAAATGAATTCGAGCTTGGACTCTTCATGAAAGTTGTATCCTTGGTTTTAAGCTTTCCAATGAATCTTCAATCATCTCAATTGGACTTCTAGAACTCGAGTGATTGACCAATTACTGACCTATGCCCAAGCTATGATGGGATTTGATATTCTAACAATGATTTAAACTTTGAATACCCAAATCTACTAGGATTAAAACGTGTAAACCCAATTTAAAAAGCTTGGGATGTCTACTTCAAATCTGAAAGGCATTTTTCTCATTCTAAAACTCTAAGATTGTCAAAGTCTCTACTGAACCTTCAGATGTCGAATTTTTCAATATCTAAAAATTGCACATTATGCTCCGCTTTCATTCGCATGCCTCCATTCCTTTCCTAATTCAAAAAATATATTAATCAGCTCAATTAACCACAAAATATATCACAAAGATTGATATAAAGGGATTGAAAATATCAGGTATTGAACAATTATCAAATTCCCCCACACTTAGTTTTTGCACATCCTCAAGCAAAACAACTCACACTAAGTACACATTATACTCAAGCCACACAGAGTACCTTATCATGATGCACATGTAATTATGTTTAATCCCTAATTATGCTCATACCTAACTTAAAGTTGTAGTAATAATAGAATAAACCAGAATCAAATACATTCATTTCTCTCTTCATCTTTATCTATAATTATTCTCCTTCAGTCAATGCAAACCAAGCAACTTAACACAACTGACTCATGCACAACTCATCCCTCAACCATTTCTCTTTACTACTACAAATCGGGTAGCAAACTAGGGTTTTATTTATTTATAAGAATAATTATTCCTTCGGTCGTAGCCCAAAATTTAATCAACAAGAACAAACAGAAGGTGCTTTGCATACTCTTATCCTTTGTCACTTTTTCGCATAGAAGCAAACATAGTAGGCATGCCTACCCGTAGTTACTCAGTAACCAAAACATTAGAGTAGAACTAAAATGTAGCCAATATTTTCTTCTTCATTTTTTTCTTTTTCATTATTTATTTATTTTTTACCCTATTTACTTAAACCGAGTTTAGGACTATCTTAAGAAAAATGGATTCAAGACTCGCTATACACTCCTCAATCATGCCTCATCACCCGGTCCACACAACTTTTCAAGACATATCATTCCAATCGACCATTAAGACTTTAATGTGCTTAACTCTAGTTTATAGAATATTGCTAACATTCTAAGATAAGGAGTATACTCATTTACAATTCCAATAAAGATCTCATGCATCATCAGGTATTCAGGACATGACTCAGAGCATTAAAAAAAAAAAAAAAAAAAAAAAAAAAACTCGTCATTTAAGTAAAGTACACACAAGACACACTCTTTATTGAAGGAATATATATATATATATTAAACAAATCAAATCCTACCTAAGCCTCCCCGGCACACTTAAAACTTACATTGTCCACCAATGTAATTCCCAATTGCAAAGAAGAGATATTATTCAGATGCATAAAAAAGAGAAAAGCAAATAAATACTCCCCTTGGGTTGCCTCCTCACAAGCAATGCCTTGGTTTAACGTCATTAGCTTGACGACATGCCTCTTCATCCAAGTAGACTGGGTCCTCCAAGTTCACTACCTCAACATTTTGCACTTGAAAACCTTCATAGAAAGGTTTGAGTCTATGACCATTCACCTTAAATACCTTCCCTGTCCTCGGACTTTGAATTTCTATTGCACCATGATGGAACACATTAGTAATAGCAAATGGACCAACCCAAGGTGAACAAAGTTTACCTGGAAATAATTTGAGCCTTGAATGGTATAGGAGAACTTTTTGTCCAACAACAAAATTCTTCCTTGAAATCCTCTTGTCATGGAAGGCTTTTGATTTCTATTTATAAATCCTGGAGCTCTCATATGCTTCATTCCTCAACTCCTCTAGCTCTTGCAATTGCAATTTCCTTTGCTCTCTAGCCTTATCTATATCCCAGTTGCATTGCTTGATTGCCCAAAAAGCATTGTGCTCTAGTTCCATTGGAAAATGACATGGCTTACCAAATACCAATTTGTATGGTGACATACCGATAGGGGTCTTATAGGTAGTCTTGTAGGCCTACAATGCATCTTCTAACCTCAAACTCCAATCCTTCGTATTTGGCTTGACTGTTTTCTCTAGAATTGATTTTACTTCACGATTAGATACCTCAACTTGGCCACTACTCTGAGGGTGATAAGACGTGACCTTGTGCACCACATTGTATTTCTTAAACAATGTCTCCACCATCTTATTATAGAAGTGAGTGCCTCTATCACTAAGGATGGCCGTTGGGATTCCAAACCTGACAAAGATATTGGACTTTATGAAATCTGCAACCACTTTAGAATTGTCAGTCCTGGCGGCTTTTGCTTCCACCTATTTACAAAGATAATCAACAGACAAAAGGATACATACATTTCCAAAAGATGAAGGGAATGGTCCCATGAAATCAATGCCCCAAATATCAAAAATCTCAATAATTAAAATAGGGGTTTGTGGCATTTGATTTCTGTGGGAAATATTACCTGTACATTGGCAATTCTCATAAGACTTACAAAACAAATATGCATCCTCAAACAAGGTCAGCCAATAAAATCCACATTCTAAAATCCTACGAGCTATTCTGTTTGGTCCAAAATGACCTCCACAAGCATACGAATAACAGAAGGTTAGAATAGATAAAAATTCAGTTTCAGGTACATACCTTTTTATTACTTGATCAACACAAAATCTCCATAAGTATGCACTACAACAAAAATGGCCTACGGTAACATGCAAAAAGTGTTACCATAGGTAATTCGTAGCATTTATAAGGATGCTATGACAGCTCATGTTACTAAAAAGCAGACATTGGTAACACTTTTTGCATGTTACTAATCATTTCAGTAACTGTCATAAAATGCTGTTGTTAAGTATATTGTAACACTTATTCGTAATTACGAATGATTTTTGGTAACACTGTATAAATGCTATAAATAAGTTTTCTATAGCATTCTTAACCTGTTACAGTTTAGTTTTCTATAACATTCTCAAAATGTTATAAATAAGTTTTCTGTAACTTTCTTAACATGTTACAGTTTAGTTTTCTGTAACATTCTCAAAATGCTATAAATAAGTTTTTTGTAACATTCTTAACCTGTTACAGTTTAGTTTTCTATAACATTCTCAAAATGCTATAAATAAGTTTTCTGTAACTTTCTTAACATGTTACAGTTTAGTTTTCTGTAACATTCTCAAAATGCTATAAATAAGTTTTCTGTAACTTTCTTAACCTGTTACAGTTTAGTTTTCTGTAACATCTCAAAATGCTATAAATAAGTTTTTTGTAACATTCTTAACCTATTATAGTTTAGTTTTCTGTAACATTGTTAAAACGCTACAAAAGAGTTTTTAATAACATTTTAAAAGTGCTATCAAAGTATCATTCATTGCATTTAGTAAATGTTACAAAATTATTTTCCATGACATTTTGAAGATGTTATCAATGTGTCTGTTATAGCATATATAAAACTGTTATAGTTGTTATTTAAATAATACAAATTATAAACAATGATACAGTAATTTTCCAAAGAGCATTTCATTGATGGTGAACCTTCATATACAAAAAGTTTGCATATATGCCTAATAAATAGGCACCCAACATCCTTTACATCCATAAAATCTAATATGCTTCATATATCATATTACATTTTGTAACATATAAACCTTCATATACAAAAAGTTTTATATATGCCCAACAAATATGCACCTATCATTTTTACATTATAATACCTAGATGATTGGAAAATTAACTATGAGTAATAGTTAATACCTTCCAATCATTCAAAAAATTCTAACAACAAAAACCATCATGCATACCATCTTCCATTCCAAATTGTGCTTTACCAAAAAAGTACTCTTGCATTTTCACAACCTACAAAACCATTAATACAAAAAAAATCTTCAATTCTCATGTATATTCTCAAAGATGACAACACATATATATTGTAAATTCAAGAAAAGATTAAGACAAAGACACCCCAAATATTTAATGCAAAAGAAAGAGGAAAAGAATATGTTTAAATCTTCAACTTCACAATCACTAGTTCTAAAAAATGACACCATGCAAGTTTAACAGAACATGTTTAAATATTCAACTTCACAATCACTAGTGCAAAAATGCCAACTGCAATTTTACAGTTTGCAAACTGCAGTCTGTAATTTTGCATACTGCAGTCTGCAAAATACAGATTGTAGTTTGCAAATATGCCAACTGCAAAATTGCAGACTGCAGTTTGCAAACTACAGTCTGCAATTTTGCAAAATGCAGATTGCATATTGCAGTTTGCACACCGTCAAGAATCTTTCTTCACTCAATTAAATAACAAAGAACACATTATTATGTTATAGTACAAAACCTTTAAAGTTTTACAAAGACAGTAGAGTGACCTACTTAGATATATTTCATGTCATGCTACACAATTTAAATAAAAATAAAAACTTCTGAAGATAGGTCAAACTCTATACATAAACTGTGTGTTCATACAATTAAAACATTGAATACATATATACCTCAACATGAGAAAATTTAGATACTAAGATAATGCATACCTCACCAGCAGCTACACTAACGACATGAAGAGTATAACCTTGCCCAGAATTTCCTGCATCCAATAATTTAAAAGAGCAACAGTAAGTTTCTAAGTTATACCTCAAACCTCAATAAGAAGTAATGAAGCCCAAACCGTATTTGAACTATACAGCATATAAACAAAATACAATATTTTACATGGGCAAAGTAATGACAATCAAGAATTCTTAAGTGCACAAACACGAAATTAGGATCAGACTAATAAGTAGAGAAACTGTGCTTCAAAAGCTAAAGTAATATTCTTAGTTGCTAAGGAATTGACCAGATGCAAGTAATTCGAGATTTCAGAAGGAAAATTAGTAGCCATAAACTCTAAAAACAAGAATTTACTAAGTTTTCCATGCTAGAAATGGAGTTTTAAGAATAATTCTTAATAAGATATCTACAAGGACTAATTAACTTCTATTCGGACTCCAAAATCCAAAGATATATTTATGATATGATTAGAACCTGAAGGATGAAGAACAGAATAATAAATATCTACAAACAGGTTATCAAGGTTAAAAAGGAGGCCAAGATAACTCCCAACCATCTGTAGTTCAAGTTCAAAATTATTATGACAAGGAAATTAAAAATAAAAAAAGAAATAAAAAACCACAGGTATTTCAGTCTATCAGTGAAAGCATAAAGGAGAGCCTCCTCGACCTCTTCTAGTTTTTCAATACCTCCTAAGCCAAGAATCACTCCCCCATACATCTTTTCTCAATATTATTATTGCAAATGAAGACAAAGAAGAAAATTGAGTTTGGTTTGCCTTTTGTTCTGTTAATTTTAACAGAACATTGTGACATAAAAGCTATATGTTTTTCATCATTTCAGCTACCATATTATCATAAGAGAGAAAAGTAAAAGAAATTTGGCATCAACAACGAGATCAGACTGCATCTCCATCATGCAAGGGTCCATCCATGATGACTAGGCAAAAATTCTGAACTTGAAAAGAAAAATACCGAAATTATTTACAGAAAATAGGAACAGAGAAAAATAAGCACACAAAGTTACCAAACCATCACAACTTACCTATCCATAGAGTTCCCAACCAAAAGTAAGCAGCGCTCCAGCATCTCATAGGGCCAAAAATTATTTATGGAAATAACCATATCAATGCATCTAGAAGAGAAGCATATGAAGTAGATAGATAAAAAAAAAACCACACACATTGAGTTTATTTCATTTTGAATTAATCCTAAATTAAATGTGCTTAACTTTAAAGTTAAAATTAATATCTTGTTCAGCAAGAATGCCTAGGTTTTAACATCTAAAGCTGCAAATCTAACTGTAATCAATATACTCCTCACTGAATTAACTTAGCTTATGTTTCAAAAGGATGAATGTATAACTTACAGCGTAACCAGTTACATCAGACACGTACCTGTGATTACTACATGATGTCACCCTCCACAAGCAATTGCCTTCACATAATTTCCAGGAACTCTAAAATCTGGTCCCTCAGAACACATGCTTCCCCAAGAAAAGGCGGCAGATCTATCTTTCATTTAAGAGGAGCACTCAATGCACGGTATAGGATGAGGAGAGGAGACCACACGTATCCGGGAACCCAAACCAAGCTGTCCCGCACCTCCATAGCCCCAACCCCACACCTGCCCTATATCTGAAACTTCGGAAAATTAAAATACATCAAGTATCTTGCTTTAACGGGGCGTTCTAGAGACACATAAGTTGTTCCCATAATTTTCTCAAGTCATTCCGGAATCAATAACAATTTAAAACACAATTTTCTTTCAACTCATTCAAATCTGTCCCCTGTTTCCAGAATTGGGGTTACTGAATTGAAAAATTCATAACAATTCAGACCTTAATCCAAACCTCATGAAACTCTCCAGAATTAAACTAGACACGTATAGGATTCACCAGAATTTAAAATCACTCAATTTGGATAAGAATATAAGCATCAAATCATTTTCCAAAAACACATGTTCTGCAGAAAATGAAAATTCCAGAATTCACAAGACAACTTCAAAACTCCATATAAAATTCAATCCTTTGAGTTTTTGAGTGAAATAAATTTCTAAACACTCCTCAAGAAGTCTACAACAGCATATCCGAAATTCAGGTTCACAGGAAAACCCAAAACATACAAACAATTTTCGGAATTCCAGATGGTCAGTTTTTGTACAGTGAACCCTTATATCAAAATCACATCTTTAACCAAATTTTGTTTAGGAAACACATGTATATTCTACCCAAATCAATTTATTGAAATCAATCTCCCTATTTTAGTTTTGTTTTCATGAGTTTATACCAAATCATAGACAAAACAACCAAAGAGAGTTCTTTAAACCAATTGAATCATAAATCACCAAAAAGGGGAAATATCAAGCTTTACTCACCTCCCATTTGCTCAATCTCCCTTTGCTTTTTCCGATCACCGGAATTTTCTCGCCGACGGTGACTTTTCCAGCCGCTTCCGTCGTTCTCTTCTCTCCTCTCTCTCTATTCTTGGTTCCATCTTCCTCTCCCTTCTTTCCTTTCTTCTTCCTCTCCTTCTCTTCTTCTTCTTTCTCTTTTTTCTCTCTCCTTTTCCTTCTCTCTTTTCCTCTCTTTTTTTCTTCTTCTTCTTCCCCGTTTTTCTTTTCATTGAATGGTCACTGTTCATCAAAATATCTGAAAATTTTCAATTTAATCCTCACTTATTTTGGCTCCTTGTACTCCTCAAAACTTTCAAATTACTACACTTTACCCCCAAAATCACAAAATAAAATTTAATAAAACTCCATAAAAAAAAGTATAGGGTATTACATTGCAGCTGAAATTTTAGTGAATAAGTAAAATTGCAAAAGTGGCGTGAAGAAGACAATTGAATGAGGTATTAGGTATTTTTTTTTTTTTTTTTTTTTGGGGGGGAAATTTTGTTTGGCGGGTATACAAGTTTTTTCCGGGTTAAAGTTTAAGAAAATGGTAATACTTTTAAGTATTATTATATTTTGATTTAATAGCACTTTTAAGTGTTACCATATTTTAATTTAGTAGAATCAATATTATTTCAATACACGCAAATTGCCTACGAGCCTACCCATTGACTGGGCAACGGGACTCCCGAATGCGTATGCGTGACCTCTTATTGTTGAACTGGTGGACAATTCCAACACTTGGGAGATGAAACGACACCAAAAAGTGACGAAATCACACCGAGAATTAAGGTGAAGAGTCAAGACGGTGAAATAGCTTTTTCAAGTGAGATTTCCAGTCAACCATGCTTGGGGAAGGTGGATTTGACTTTAGGGAGTATGGACCAGCCCCTAGGATGTCTAGAAGTTGCCGAAAAACTAAGAAATTAAAGTCATCAAGAAGAAAAACGGTCACAGATGGAGGAAGCTTAATGGTCATTGGAATCCAAGAAGGTCTTACGTGATGACGGCCAGCCGTTGGAGAAAGAAAATGGTCGTCAAAGGTGGAAGTTGGACGGTCTCTGGAAAATAGATGAAGATAGGTGAACGTTTTTGGCTTTGCATAACCTTCCATCTTTCTTCTATAGTATTTGCAAAAACATTTGAGTTTGGGCCCTACATGAATGAGATGTAACAAAGTAAAGCCCAAATAGTAAATGTGACCCCTAAACAATAAAAATGAGAAAAAATCAATACTCATTTCATATTGGAGGGAATAATATTTTGTTTTCCAATAAATAATTGGGTTTATGGTAACACTTATAAAATGTTACTGTATTTTGATTATATGGTAACACTATACAAAAGTTACTATATTATTAGGTCTATTGTAACACTTTAAAAATGCTACTGTAGATATATTTTCCATAACATTTAAGAAAAAGAGTTACCATTGACATAAAATATGTTACAAAAAGTTAAAGTGTTACATATAAAAATTGTTATCATAACATTTTACATCAAGTGTTACCATAGATAGTCTACGGTAACACTTTAAGAAAAAGTGCTACTGTCCAGTGTTACCGTAGGCTATTTTTGTTGTAGTGATGGGTCATCCCACACATAATACTTAGCATCATGTTTAAGCTTATCCTTCTGAGCCCTAGAAAAATCATCAGGTAATTCTCTACCAACTAAGTAATTTACAATATATGCATACCATGGTAGGTTCTTGTTGACAAAAAATAGCTGCTCATCTAGGAATGTCTCTCGCAATGGTAGTTCATCCTCTTCACGCACCAATCTGCTTTAATGATCCACTACAGAATTCTCACTCAGTTCATATCTCAAATCTTCAAACTGAATTGCTGTAGTAATAGAATCAACCTAATAAGCTTCAATTTCGCTTCAATCTTCGATAGCAAGTACTTGAGAGCTGCCTGATCAGAATAAGTTTTTACTTTAGTGCCAAGCAAATAAGACCGAAATTTTTCTAAAGAAAAAACAACAAATAAGAGTTCTTTTTTGGTTGTGGAATAGTTTATTTGGGCTGTATTCAAAGTCCTTGAGGCATAGTAGGTAACACGTGTAGCCTTGCCGACTCTTTGTCCTAGAACAACTCCCACAACATAATTGCTTGCGTCGCACATGATCTTGAATGGCAACTACCAATTTGGTAGTTGAATTACTGGTGCCGAAGTCAAAAGCTTCTTCAACTTGTCGAATGCTTCCTTACACTCTTCATGAAACTAGAATGGTATGTCTTTTTGCAACAGCTTACACAAGGGCAATGCAATCTTCGGAAAATCCTTGATAAATCTATGAGAAAAACCTGCATGTCCAAGAAAATATCGAATCTCCCACACATTCATGGGGTAAGGTAAAGCAGAAATAACATCTATATTGGATTTATCTATCTCTATCTCTCTAGCAGAAATAACATGCCCTAAAACTATACCTTGTTTTACCATGAAGTGACATCTTTCCCAATTTAATACAATGTTAGTTTCTAAAAATCTCCTCAATATTAGTGTAAGGTTATCCAAGCATTTATCAAATGAATCACCATAGACACTAAAATCATCCATAAATACCTCTATAATGTTTTCTACATAGTCATAGAATATACTAACCATACACCGCTGAAAGGTTACCAGAGCGTTACACAATCTGAATGGCATTCAACCGTAAGCAAATGTACTAAATAGACACATGAAGGTCATTTTCTCCTGATTCTCGGGTGCTATCCCAACTAGGTCGCAACCTAAAAAACGCATATAGGACACAATAATGAGTATGATCAGCTAATCTCTCTAACATCTTATCTATAAACGGGAGAGGGAAATGATCTTTTTGAGTTATAGCATTCAACTTCCTATAATCTATGCACACTCTCCATCCTGTTTGGACACGTGTGGGCACTAACTCATTCTCATTATTACGAACCACTATTACACCAGACTTTTTTAGAATCACCTATACTGGGTTCACCCTCTTGCTGTCTGAAATTGGGTATATAATACCCACATTGAGTAGCTTCAGAATCTCTTTTTTCACTACTTCCATCATTGGGGGATTCAACCTGCATGAGCTTCCGTAGTTGGTTTGGCTCATTCTTCCAACAGAATGTGGTGCATAGAGATGACAAGACTTATCCCTTTAATGTCTGCAATTGTCCAACCAATCACCATTTTATGTTCCCTCAGCACCCGAATCAGCTTATCTCCTAGACTTGAGTCAAGTTATTGGCAATGATTATTAGTAACGCTTCATTCTCTCTCAGATATGCATATTTCAAATGGACAGGCAAAGGCTTTAATTCCAAAATAGGGGTCTGCACAACGGAAGGTAAAAGTTTCTTGTGAGCAACGGGTAATTGAATAGAAGAAGCAGATGGAAAAGTGAAGCATTTCCCAGGTTTTGCATGTCATGCTAACTATGCCGTAACTTGCTCGTCTCAACTCCGATTCTGGAACTATTTGTTTCTAGTTGTCACAAATTCTCTTACAAACATCATATTTCATCTAAATATTATTCCTAAGCTTTTATGCCCTAAAAATACAACAAAAATATCATGATCCTGAAATGTGCATTTATGAAAAACCAAGTTAACTCATGCAAATCAACACATACACATACGTATCTCTTGCCACTAATGATCTCAATTTGCATAGGACCCATTAAATCCATATGAAGAAGTTCTAAAACACTAGAGGTGGTTAAATGAGATAGGGGTTTGTGAGCACTATTGGTCTACTTACCTTTTTTGCAATGGCCACATACTTTACCTTTAGGAAAATCTAGTTTGGGCAGACCTTTGGCATCATCCTTCTTAGAAAGTTTCAAAGGTCTTTAAAGTTCATGTGTCCAAGCTTCTTGTGCCATAGTTTCACACAATATGTCTTAGTGCTCAAACAAGAAACTTTGTTAGACACCAAATAGCAATTATCATTAGACCTCTTTCCTTTAAGCAAGGAAGTACCTTCACCATTCAAGACTTGATATTTGGTTTTTTAAATTGCATAAGAAAGTCTTTATCACATATGTGGCTAATGCTAATCAGATTGTCTTTTAGTCCCTCAACATACAAAACATCATGTAACATGGTGAAGCCAGGAATGTCTATTGAACCTTTAACAAGAATCTTACCTCTTTTTCCATTTTCATAGGTAACATGGCCAACATCAAGAAATTCAACGTTAGTCAAAAGAGCATTATTACCAGTCATATGCCTAGAACAACCACTGTCAAAGTACCGTTGATCATCTTGAAATGCAAGCAATGATGTATGTGTAACAAAATAGTTCACACTTAACTTGGGTCTCCACACCTTTTTGTTCTTAGAAATTAGTTTTAAATGTGGTGACATGAGAGAATGGTGTGGCGACAGTTTAGAAAGCATTTCATGATTTTTAAGACGCTTTTTCATATAGGAAATGAATTTGAAACATTTTAGTCTAATGTGACAGTTCCTATGACAGAAATGACAAACTGGAATGAACCTTTTTACCTTTACAGATTGCTCACCAACCTTAGCAACAGTAACAAAAGGAGATTATGAGGCCTTGGCGAATGTGCTCACACCAGATTTTCATGTGCTCGTACCAAAAGTAAATCACAAACCAGATTTATCCCCAAAAATCTTTCCTTGGTCAAGAACTTCATCAAGCTTGTATGAACTTGCATTTAACCTTTCAATAATGGCCTTGGCCTCAGTTAGTTCATTTAAAGCTTCACATAAAAAAAAAAAAGAAAAAAAAAAAAAAAAAGACTTTTTGTTGGACACCCCAGAAGACAAGATTTTCACTTTATCAAACAAGATTTTCTTGTCTTCAACCAAACATGCTTTCTCGGCTTCATGAGACCTTACCTTCTTGATTGCCTTTAGCCATGATTCATACATCTTATCATAGGCTTCCTATTGCTCTTTATAGACATCACAAGAGTGATCAAAGGTCACACTTTCACTGTCCTCTTGATTACCTGTAAAGGCTAAAAAATTTCCATTCTCATTAGGGTCATGTTCCTCACTGTCATTGTCATCACTCTCACTTAGGGCGGGAACCATTACTTTACATTTTTTCTTTAGAGTGTTGGCACACTCAGACTGGATATGGCCATAGCCCTCACGCTCAAAACACCTAATGCCTTTGTTTTTCTTCTCATTTGTTTTGAAAATCCTTTTGAAAAGGCACCT